CCCCCCCCCCAAAAAAAAAAGAACAAACAACCCAACACCAAGATATCTAAGTGAAGTGTGGGGAAATAAGAACCTTTATGTAACTAATGCTTTAAGCTAATTACCACAAGAGCTGGAATTTGTAAATAAAAAGGTCACTGTTTAGTGAGAAACATAACTTGATATAAACCCTCTTATGTCCATCTCCACCTTCACCATAGCAAGGGCAGTTTTTCCTCTTACTTTAGACCAAAGTAATCCATCAAGAGCCATCACAAATGGCATTGTGAACTCTTTTAACCACCATCAGACCATACAGTAGAAACATAATATGCTTCTTTATACACGAGTGTTGCATTATATTTATATAGACAGGCACATATTTGGTTCTGGATCCGTTTATTAYTCGGTAAAGAATTCCCCCCTACCCCCCCGCCCCAACAAAAAGCCAGAACCAAAAAAAAGCCCAAGTCCATCTGGAAAATATTTGAGTTCTTATACTCCTAAATTGATGTTAAATTGTTTTTAATCTTTGCGTGTATAAAATTTTAAAGAGGAAACAAAACTGACTTCAGTAATTGTCGCTATTAAGGAGACACCGTTGGGTGGGATACACATGAGATCAAAGCTATGAAAAATACAGGACTACGTTTTGTTAAACACAACGAAAATCCTCCACAGCACTAATACACACCAAAATCCCGCAGAAACGAATATTTTTGGTTAAAACCACAAACTTACCTTCGAAGAAGGCAGCCCTTGCRAAAGGGCTGTAACAATATGGACTGCATACTCGCTCTCCTACAACCAGCCACCTCCATGCTGCAAAGGGCTTCCCGAACATCCTTAAAATATTTCGCAAATGCAGAAAGTGAGACTTTTCTTTCTTTTTCTTTTTTTTTTTCCCCTCCTCTCTCTCTTCTTTCCTCCCCCTCCCCGTCACCCCGCCAGGACCGCCGGGTGAGGAAGGAGGCGGCTTGCCGAGGGTCGGCGGGCGATGCCGGCGGGCGGCCGCAGCCGGGGCGGGGGACCCGGTGCCGCCGGGGTCACAACTTTGCCGGGGCCGGCGTTGGCTCGATGGGCTCGGCGGGCAGCGGCGCCCCCGCCCGCCCCCCGGCTCCCCCCGTCGCCGCCTGGAAAAATGCAGTGTGCCATTTTACACCCGCCTCTGGAGCACACAGGACCAAAGTCTAGCGCTGGTTTTCGGTGACACTGCAAAACTACGGCTCGCCCCGCGCAACCCCACGCCTCATCCTCCCCTCGGAGAGAGCGGCCGCCTCTCGAGAATTAATAAAGAAAGACAGCTGGAGAAAATAATTCCGAGACTTCGCCGTTTTGCCTCCGTCCCTCCCCCCGCCCCCGCCCCCACTCCGAACCCCGCAGCAAGTTTGTGCCGCCCGGCGCATCCCTCGGCCTCCCCCCGCGGCACCCCCGCACCCCCGCCCCGCCGGGCTCCGGCAGCTTCGCAGCATCCGAAAGAGCCAGTCATGCCTGAAACAAAATCCATGATTCCTGGAAAGTGGAGAGGCTTGAATCCCAACAAATACTCGATTTACTTACAATTATAAATACCTACCTTATAAAAGAACTAAATTAACACTAAATTCAACAGATACATCCGTTACGGCAGGAATAGTTTTTCCATAAATACTGTTTTAAAAACCCCTCCTTATACTGACTGACAGAATTCTACCATGCTGCCCACAAACAAAATGGCTGTGGCACCGAGTTTTTTGGTTCCTCCCACTGTGCCTCCCCCTGGCCTCCAGGAAGTGGTAGAAATCCAAAATAAAATCCGCACGAAAAGTACAATACATCAGCCAAACTCCGCACGGCACCGCCAGACAGCATCGGGAGGGAAGCACATTCACCAACATTGTAGTTTCTCGAGGATTTTTATTGTTTTTAAAAGGGCATCAATCACTGGGAATTTACATCACTGTGTAATTCGAACTTCCTGCTTTACATATTTATAAGGTCTTTCACCTATCTTGGCAGGCTTTCAAATTAAGTGGGTTGGGAAATTTGATGCTGTGGCTCTAGTTTGTGAGCTGAGTCAGGTAGTGCCTGCTGGAGCTGGGCTCTGAAAAGACGGGCAAATTCTAACACCTTCGCTGTTCAGTGCAAGATAAAATAATCCCCCTAACATATCCCAGTCTCGTAATTGAGCATGTGGGCACAGAGAGGCCCCTGGAATGAGGCTTCTCGGCGGAAACTGAAATTCAGGCCTTTTGCAAATAAATACACGCTTTATAATATTTAGAATTTTGTAGTTGTCCACAGCAGTCTGCCTGAATCATGATCTCTGTGGAAATAATCTTGGATTTTCTCTTCTTATGACCCCGTTTAGTGTTGCAGTCCTTTAACTCTTGTGACATTCACCTTAAAATTAAAATAAACAGGAAAATATTAGATAGTTGTATTAGAAATTATGATAAAAATGTCACTATGTAGTCCTTTATGTGAGCCACCAATCTTGCCAGGCAGTAGCAGAGCTCCTCTTGCACGCTGCCTCGTGGGCTCCGTAGGGCTTGATTCATTTCCCATGAGAATCCTTTTCCTGCCTTTAGGAGGAGTTACAATGGAGACAGGCTGTCAGACCTGCCGAGCCTGATCCAGCCCTGTATTAAAAGACTTGAATTAATATTCTCACCAACTGCTATTCTAAACCTTTTTCAGAGGCACTGAAAAAACAGTGGAATTGGTGATGTTTTTCCTGAACCGCCTTACATCTAAGTCTTAGATTAAAAAAAAACCAACAAAACTGTAAAGAACTTGGAGCAAATTTTGCCATTGTTATAATTTGTTTGTATTATCGYGTTATCTAGCAGTCTTAATCCTGAACTATGATTATAATGTTATATTGTATAGGRATATAGGGCAAAAAGATAATTCCTGCCCTGAAGAGCTCAAAAGTATAAGACAAAAGAGAGCAGATGGCTACGGACAGATGAGGGAAACAATGAGACTGTATTGATCAGCGGGGAAGGCACAGTTTGCAACACACCATCAGTTGAACTCTTGTTTCTGTGGATACTTCATGGCGAAGAAGACATAAGGTGGGATTTGCTGAAGAAAATTAATCAGGTTTTGTGGCTGTTGAAAGAAAACTCCAGCAAGAAGGACAGCATGGAGGAAAGCACAAAGATGTTTGAAAAAGCAGCAGGTGAACCACAGAAACCTACTCAAAATGCCATTAATCTTTGTATAATGACAGAAAGTAGATAAGGGACAAGTAGGCTACTGAAAGTATTGAAAATACAGATGCAAATTTTATGTTTGAGAGAGAGAAGGCAATGAAAGGATCCAAAAGSCATAGTGGAAAAATCATAAACCAGGCTGCTATCTGTAAACCAGTCCTAGGAAAGCAAGTAGACAGTAGTTCACATTGTATGGGCCKGAAGAGATGTAGCACATTTTTTATAGGGAAAAAAAGTATTATTCTTAACCATGAATTTGGGGACTATGTGTTGATTGTCTGCACTTTCTTTCATGTTTGTATTTAGTGAATTCTTGAGGACTACTCCTGAGGGTGGTGTTTAGTACAGGAACACCTTATTTCTAAAGGGTCACCTCAAATTTGTTAATATGACTGCATAAGCACRAAGGAAGGTTGGGGCCAAGCTGATTATGCACACTGGGAAGGCTCCTTCTTCCTGTCACTTGTTTTTGGACTTGGTTTTGTCACTTGTTTCATCYTCCTGCACTGTTCCATAGATTACAGCATTGTCTGATAGAGCCCTCAGTTGCATGGTGGAGGGGCAGAAAGAGCTCTGGTTTAGGGAATAGCTACATTCAGAAGAACAAATTATGCTTTGGAGGAGGAATATGGTCCCTARGCTCCGAGCTCTCTCAGGACATTCTTTACTATGTTGCTGTACGTTTTTAAACACTTTTTTTCTTATTTTCCACATTTGCAGTAATAGTGGGTGCATCTTTTCAAATTCTTTATACTTCTTTTGCACAAAATAATTTAGATAACTTTGCATTTACCTCAAGGCTCTTAACTGTATTAGCTAGTCATGCTAGAACTTTGGGTTAAACACTGCACAGTAAATAACTTCAAGTAAGCAAAGCCTTGGTGAATGTCTGTGGAATTATTATGGTGTGGCAAATGGGATWGAATTTGGCTGGATTCTTTTGTTGCAGCTGTCCAAAATTTCCTTCAGGTTTGAAGCTTACTTGTTCTGTAGATAAGCTGATGTATGGTAACTGTTTAAGCCAGGGTCATTTTCTCTCATGTTGTATCTCATCAGCCTTTTTAACYGAAAACAGGGTATATCAAGTGCTAAATGCCAAGAATTGAGGAAGGGATTGAAATATACATTGTGACTATTTTTTTTAAAATCTGAATAAGTGTTCTAAGAAAAGTTGAACCATATGTTCTCAGGCTTTAAGAATAACCCTCACCTGACTTGATGTCAAATTTCCCCCAAATTCTTACACCTCAAAGTAACTGAAAAGAGCACCATCATCCATTCTGCACTTTTTAAAAAGCTTTGTCCAATGCTTGGTGTGAATGTTCATCTTGAGATTTTGCTCAAAACCAGGGAAATAGAACATCTGTATGGGAGCACAGAAAAAAAACTAGCTACCTTTTAGGATTTAGACTAACACAAAAAAGTGGTTAAAACCTTGTAGCMCTCAAATAACAGCTTCTAACTGAAATTAGGGAAGCCACTTTTTGCATTCTGCTTGCAGTATAATTGTTTTATTATTCTTTATCTTTCATTTGCATTAATCTTTATCTTGCCCATAAAGTTTTAACTCTATTGCCATATTTYCCAAGTAGCTCTCTATCTCTATGCTTGCAATAAACAAATTACACTGATCTGCTTTTGACAATATTTTCTTGATGTCTTTAGGAAGTGAATTACTAGTCCTGTTAAGTCAGTAAATCATTAGGTTGATAGCAAGAGCTGGAAGATATCAAAGTGCTTTTGCAACTCATATGTAAATGATCATTTGYTTTCTTTCATAAAAGTGGCATAGAATCTTTTTCGGTTGAAAGATCATCAAATGCATAGATAGTTTGAGTCTTTATTCAATAGAGAATGTTCACATATCTGCATAACTCCTCTTGAGGAATAAAAAAAAATGATTTGTTGTAATTTGGAAAGTTCATCAATTATAGAATGAGAATGGATTATTGATGCCTGACTGCATTATAAAGGAGGACACAGGCTCCCCCAGCTTAATTCTTGTTTGACCCAGGTCAGATATTTTTAAAAAGCCCACAGTCTTGGCTGAAAATGCATAGTGGTAAAAAAAATCCACAAAATCTTCACTAAATTGTTACAGTGATTACTTRACTCACTTGAAATTTAACTTTAAATCACAGACTTTGTAACTTATTAAACCTCCTCTTTCCATTTCCCATCCAAGTCCTGGTTTTATTTGAGTATGTCCAACTCACAAAACTTTACTCTTTGTTAGGGATGTTGTGTGATTGTACTWCTTCTCTAGTTTACCAGTAATCTTCATGCCTGATGCTCCACACACATCAGAAACAAAMAAGTGCCTACAACAATTACTCACCAATATTAAAGTAACTGCTTGTATTTTTTACATATCCCAGAATTTTATTTGCTTTCTTGCTGAATTTCCATTACAGATAGCCCTGTTCAGCAAACCATCCCATTAACTTKGTATCCTTTGCACTAATTCCCTTTTTGGTCATATCATCTTCCTRTTACTCTTAATAGGACTTAACATTGCTCTCAGGATTTAACTTTTACATGTACAGATACGTGGACTGCTCTACTTGGGCCCACCTTAATAAGCTGATCSAAGCTGCCTTTTACAAAAACCCATTCACGGCTGTTGTCCTCTCATTCAAACTCTACAGTACTGTGAGCATCAGTAAGGATTCCTTTCCACATTACTCTTACTTTAAGCAGTGTTTTTCTTTGCTTCAGACACTGAAGTTGTACTGCTGACTTTGTTTCTTTGTGCTGGGACCCCGTCTTCAAATACTTTATGACTACACCAAGACAATTTAAATTACAGTGTTATCACAGGTTGATATGTCATCCACCCTTCTCATATCAGAAATTCTGCCAAAGACAGCTCTGATGATTTTAGGATGATGTTTGGTGGCAAAAGATGTGGAAAAAGAGTGAAGTCAATTTAAGCGGAAAATCAATTTGTTACAAAAATGTGTGTAGGTCTTCTGAAAAAAAAAAAAAAAACCAACAAAAAACCAAACCCTAGAAATAAACCTCCAAATCATCTGTTGCTGTTAGCTGCCAAGGTATGCCATTCTCRAAGGATAGCTCTTCTCTCCTTTTGTTTTTTTTCTGTTGTACCTTTTTATGATGGCCTGAAAGTACSTGATCAGATCCCCTGCACAGATTGGTCAAGTCATAACCTACATCATTATACTAATTAACAATCCTCTTTGATTTTGGAATATATCTTCTGTTGAATTGTTGTAACACTCAAAATATGCTGTTCTATCAGATTTAAATCCGTGTCCATGACAAGTCCAATATGGTAATATATTTATTAAAAAAAAACTTAAGCCACACCATGTTGGCACAGATGCATTTTGAAAAATTCTCCTCTTTTAGTCATCTATGTTTAATTGATTGAAGCTGGTAGGGAAATWCTGGCTGTGATTTCAGGATAAAGTCAGGAAAAATAAATCTAAGAAAAAACAAAAGTCCACTGTGAAACCTTTCTTTTTACTTAGTTGACTACTTMATTTGTATTGTTCTATGTACTGTCCCTGTTATATGCTGACATTTGAAGCTGAGTCACATCAGCTTTGGTCCAGATCTTGGAATTTTGTGTGGAARACTATTCAGTGCTTTTTAATCCAAGCACTGGATCCTCATCCATGTATTAAAATTGATCCTGAATAAATACTCACTGCTATGTTTGCAAGCACAAGTAACTGTTAAAGCATCTCCTTCACTTGCTTGCAGTCCTGTTCTGTGCCTGCAGTGGCTTTGGTGAGAGCATTGTTCCCAGRGTGCAGGATAGACCTGTTGCTGCTGTTGG